TTGTCAACAAGGCTTGAACTATGAATCTTTCACTAGCTGAAGCAGAGTTCCTTCCTGTAGGTATTTCTGATTATAACCCCATTTTGATTAAAGTGATGGCTCCTCCAACTAAAATAAGGCCTTTTAAATTTTTTGATTGTTGGGCAGACCACCCAGATTTTCTAAACATTGTGTCGTTTGGAATAAATATATTAGGGATACCCCGCATGTTCTGTTTGTACCAAAACTTTAGTTGTTTGATATCATGAAAAGGGTGGAGGAAGCTAGCCTTCAACTGGAGAATATTCAAAAAAAGTATTGATAGCAACCCCAGAGATGTGAACTTGATTAGGGAGGAGAAAAAGGCTACTCTCAAACTCAATTAGTTATGCAAAGAGGAAAGTGGCATAATGAAGCAAAAGGCCATAACCCAACAGCTCAGTCTGGATGGCCAAAATAGTGCATTTTTTTTCAAACTATGATCCAAAGGAAGCGTAAAATCAGAATTGTTGGAACTACTAAAGATGATGGGGTATCTATAACTGTTCCAAAAGAACTAAATGTTGAGATTGTTTCTTATTTTCAAAATTTGTTACAACCTGCGGGGGATCAAAATGATCTTTGCAGTGATGGACTCAGTTGGTATTACGCAAACCATCTAAATGAAGCTCAGTGGCATTCTTGAAGTTGAGGTATCTATAGAGGAGATTAGGGAAACTATGTTACCTCTCACAGATGGGAAAGCCCCTGGCCCCTATAAGTACAGTGCCCATTTTTCTCAATAGAGCTTAGCATGTGGTTGGAAATGATGTCATTATGCCTATCATTTCTTTTTTTAACTCTAGTTCCATTTTAAAGGAGCTCAATTCAATGATTGTCACATCGGTATAAAAAAATTCCTAATCCAACAAGGTTGAATGACTATTGGCCAAAATCTTGTTGTAATGCCATCTATAAGTGTACAATTAAAATATTGGCAAATAGAATGAAGTCATCCTTACCTCAATTATCAAGTCTGCAGAGTCGGCATTTATTTTTGGTTGAAGAATTGTTGATAATATCTTGTTATCCCAAGAGTTGATGAGAAATTACCATCAGGATGTAAATGAAAAAAAAATGTTTGCATTTAAAGTTGAGCTCCGCAGAGCCTATCATTCAATTAATTGGTCTTTCATAGTGCAAACACTTGAAGCATATGGCTTCCAAACAAAGTTTGTAAACTTGATAAAGGTCCATATATCGTCCCCTAGTTTCTCAATTAATGTAAATGGTGGACACCAAGTGATGGGGATCAAAAAAAGAAGGCACTGAACACCTATTATAGGCGCAAGAGACATCAAGTGGAACCCTAGAATTTTTAGGAGATTGTATTTCCCAAATAAGTTAATTTGTTGTTTCTTTAATTTTCATTATTAGCTATGTAGTTTTTTATGTAGAGAGAGATTGTGGAATAGGAATATTTTTACCTTTGAATGAATAATTATTGAATTTAAGAGATTATATATTTTCTTTGAGAAAACCCCAGAGTGAGTGCCGTTTCTTCTTGTTATTCTTCTTGTTATTTTCCTAGTACTAGGGGACTACGCCAAGGGGATCCCATGTCGCCTAATATGTTATTGCCATAGATGTATTGTTAAATATTAGAAAGAACAAAACATAATGCTAAAAAAAGAGAAGATTACACATTTGAGTTTTGTTGATGACCTAATGCTAATTTTCAAAGCTGATGTATAGTGAGTTGGAAGTTGGAAGGATGAATTAATTGAATTTCAACAATTCTCAGGGTTAGCTCCAAATCATGAGAAGAGTAATGTGTTTGTTTTAGAAGTTACTGATCAAGAAAAGGTTGTTATTCTACAAATGTTGGGGTTTAGCAAAGGCAAGTTGCCCGTGAGGTACTTCGGGCTCCCACTGATTTCAACTAAGTTGAAGACTGAACATTGTCAATCTGATGTGGAGAATCACAAGAAGGGTAAAATCATGGACAACCATATTCCTCTCATATACAGGGGGAGCTCAACTCATCAAATCTGTTTCGTTCTACATCCATATTATTGGTCAAGTATGTTTATCTTGCCCAATAAGGTTCTAAACAATATTGATATGATATTTTCCTTTGGAAGGGTGTTGACCTTGAGCCAATCAGAGCCAAAGTAGCGTGGACTTCTATATGTTGCCCTCATAAAGAGGTTGGATTGGGTTTCAAAAACATCTAAAATTGAAATAAAGCTAATATCATCAAACACGTATGCTTTATAGCAAGGTTTTTAAAGGCGAAAGTGCAAGTCAAGGCATTTCACCCCTAATGAGGTGAAGCGTAAGCCTCACAATGTTGAGACATAAGCCTTTTGAGTTTTGAGTTTTTTATTTTTATAAATTATAAAATTAATTAAATATAACATAAAAAAATATAAAGAAAAAACCTTAAAAACAATACATTGAAAATTTTAAACACGTAGATCCATACATAATAAAGAAGGTCAATAACTTCAAATAAAAAATTAATAAAGGCAATTCATTTTTAATAAATGAAGGTTTCTCAGTCAACAAAGTGGGAGTTAAAGAGACCCAACAAAACAGAGATAACTTCAAATGAAAATAATAATAACGGCCAAGCAATATTATCTTTTAATAAATGCTTCTTGGCCAACAAAGAGTCAGAAAGACCTAAAATACAGTCCCAACAATAAAGAAAGAGAGAAAAACCCAATGATAGAGAAAGAAAATCGAGAGAGACAAAGGGCATGAACCTGATGTTGATCATCTTTCAGTGGAAGTCAAAGTTAGGGCCCATGTTGTTTGGAGAGAAGAAGAAGCTCTCAGTTTCAGTTGAAGCGAGTAAGAATATAGCAAAGTAATTTCAGCATAGAGTGAGTAAGAAGCTCTCAGTTTCATATTCAAGCTGGACATTGATCGTCTCTCAAATAAGATTCAAATTAATTCCGTTCTTTTTTTTACCACATTACAAAATGTGCAAGCCTCGACAGATTATGCGTGAAAAGCGCATGATGTGCATGTCAGGCAAACGCCTAAACCAATGAGGCTTACGCATTGTTGGTGTTGTGCACAAAAAATAAGCCTCGATGCATTTTGGAACACTTCACCCTAATGTGGCCCTTGATGCGCGCCCCACAAACGCCTTTGAAAACTTTGGTTCATAGTGAATGGTGAGGAAGACACTCTATGGGTTATAATGACTTTGATGTTCCATATGGAATACCAAAGTCCTTAGAGACTACTCATGGGCTTAGAGGAAGATGGTGAAACACAGAGATTTTGTTAGACTTCATATCAAACACTATTGGTAATGGAATTAAGACTTCATTGTGATTTGATTGGTGGTTACCTAGTGGCCCTGTTGTTGAGCAAAAAGGTATAAAAAAGGCCAAGGCTGTTGATCATTCATGAGGGCAGTTGTCATTGACCATGTCCTAATTCGATATAGTTGATGGCACTCAAGCATGAGATGCCACCTGATCTTGCCCCTCATACTTCAAGAGGGAATAGTGTTCTATGGACACATGATAGTCATGGTAGAATCGATATCAACGATGCATGGATTTGCTACGATCAGTTCGTCAACTTGTCCCATAGCACAAATTGTTATGGTTCCCAAAACACAATTGCAACATGCTTTCGTACTTTGGCTGGCAATTTTGGAGAGACTTTGTACCCAAGACAAGTTGCTTACTTATTGTAAAAATATCACTATAGTTGTCTTTCGCAGATTCCCAATTGTGAAGAACATGAGCACCTCTTCTTTGAATGCTCCTTCACTAGAGGTATTTTGGAGACAATTTTTTGCCAACCATCTTTGAAATTGAGATATATGGTTGGGTAACATCTCAGCTTTTTTTTCTTTTTTTCTTTTTTTTTCGTGCGTGTGTGTTGGTTATGGTTGGGTAACATCTTGAAATGGTTGTTATAAATATCAGGGCTGATTGTGCTTGCTCAAAGGTATTGTGAATAGTCAGCAAAATGGTTACCCTTGGGTCTTAAAGTCTTCGTATGATACTGCAAGTCTTGCTTTGTTGATGGGTGAGGCAGTTGGGTTTATATGCTGATTATGCTGTATATACTGTAGCAGCGTTAAGCTATTGACTTTGGGGGGTGGGGGGGTTGGTTATGGTTGGGTAGCATCTTGAAATGGTTGTTATAAATATCAGGGCTGATTGTGCTTGCTCAAAGGTATTGTGAATAGTCAGCAAAATGGTTACCGTTGGGTCTTAAAGTCTTCGTATGTTGCTGCAAGTCTTGCTTTGTTGATGGGTGAGGCAGTTGGGTTTATATGCTGATTATGCCGTATATACTGTATCAGCGTTAAGCTATTGACTTGGATGGCCTCCATCTGTCTAGATGGTTTCCGCCCAGATTGTATTGGCTTGGGGGATGCCCATTGTTTGGATTTACGGTTTCTATCTTCCTATGATATTCACTTACTAAATATAAAAAAACAAAAAATACTAAACTTGTTCTTAACATGGATGATGTACGTAAAATGACTTTCATTTATATCAGCACGAATCATTTAATGAGTCCAATTAAAAAAAATTCAACGTGCAACATCCAAAATACTCGGAAACTAACTACATTACAAAGCAGATATCTAGCGTAAGGAAAAATCATAACCAATCTACAGTATATATCAAATTAAAATAGGATATTGCATGTTCATAGAAAAAAATCATGGTCAATCTCCAACATATCAAATTAGGAACAGTATAATTTGGAACCAAATTTCTTCCAAATGAAGGTTATATGAACAAACAAGCTCTGACTCCCACGCCAATCAACAACATTTTAATGGCATTTATGTTCTCTAAAGAAAATTTAGAAATCAATAACGTGGAAAAAACAAGATAAACCTAAAATCAAAATTAAGAAAAAATAACAAAAAGATAGCTAAAAAAAAGATTCCAGGAACAACATTTTTGTGTAACATAATAAAAAACACAATAATCGCATATAATAAATTGCGGTTTGTAATCAAAATCAAAAGAATATGCATTTGATTTACTGACCGTTTTGATCTTCATCGATTGGTGAATCGGACAAATCTTCGCCGATTTCTTCTCCTTCTTCAACCTCTTCTTCCATCTCCTCTTCTTCTTCGACCTCTTCTTCTTCTTCTTCTACTTCCTCTTCTTCGATCTCTTCTTCTACTTCTACCTCCTCCTCCACCTCCTCTTCCACTTCCACTTCCTCCTCAATTTCCTCGTACTCTACGTCGTCATCGTCGTTATCCATTCCGATATCCGATCCCTCATGAGATTGATCGCCGGACGCCGGGGAGTGGTGGTGGTGGGGGCGGTGGCCGTCAGGGGTAGCGGCAGCGGCAGCGGCGGCGGCGGATGGCATTTTGGTTTGAAACCCTTGCGTACCGGTGTCCCGCACAGTGTGTTTGAGACAATAAATGGGTTAAAAAAATTTAGAGAGAAAATTATTTATAGAGAGAAAAAATATATATATTATTTTATTTTTATACACATAATTATTTTATTTTTATACACAAACTATCTGAGTGTGTGTAAAATAATTCGTAAAAAAATAGCTAAATCTAACATTATTGATTTTTTTAATGATGTGGCCATATTTTCTAATTAATTATTATCTTATAAGCGAAAAGAAAAATGTTTTAATTTTAATTTTTAAATCATGATTAAAAAAATGTCAAAATTAAATTTAACATGAGGTATAATTAAAAAGAAAAATTACTCATAAATCTCATATCGAAAAATGTTACTACATTTAGTCCTAAATGTTTTCTTGTAAACCATTTAGTCTTTTTTTTACATCACAACATCATCATCAAAATAACATCAAACATCATCATCAAAACAACATCAAAAATCACAGCATCATCATCAAAACATCTGGGACTACCAAAGAAGAACCCTCGCATATTCAAACCTTCATTCTCTCTCCCTCCAAAGCTTCATTCCGTGATCGATTCCTCCGATCCCAAATGGGACGACCAAGGCAGTGTTCTCGACAACTACAAAGCTTTCGGCGTTGTTTCTAACCCTAACTTTCTCGGCGTCCGATCTCGCACTTCTCACATCATCGAAAGCGAGTCTCTTCAGGTTCCTCCTCCCGCCGCCGATTCTACCGTCTCAGAATTCGATCCCGTCGATTCCGGCAGCGACCTTGAAGAAGACGGTTACTTCTTCCTCTTTCTCTCTATTTGTTCCATTCATTCTGTTTTCTTCGCAGAGCACGATCAAACAGACCCAACAAAGAGCTGAAATGAGGCAAGAAGCCATGGAAATGAAAAGATGTTCAAAACCTTTTTGTTATAGATGTTGAACACAATGTTTTGGAAGTACCAGAGACTAAAAACAACAGCTAGTTTGAGGGTTTTGTTTGGATTTTAAACCTCAATTTCTCCATCTGGGTTGGCTTCTTGTGGGGTCCCAGAGGCTACTCTGAGGATTTGCGAGGTAGGTTTGAAAGAAAACTCAAATGGGTGTCTATAGATTCGATTGAAATGTGTGGTTCGATGAGAGATCTGAGAAGTGAGTTTTGAAGAAGAACCAAGTAAGTGGACATGGTTGGAGATTTTGAACCCAGATTCAACAAAGCTAGAGGTGGATTTGTTGAAAGGAAGATATGGGCAGTGTAGGTTTCTTTGATTATGAGGCCTGTTGTTGGCAAGCTTTGGATCAAAAAGTGAAGCATTTATGGGGTAATTATAGTTGGATCTAGAGAAAGTGACATGTTGTTGTGATGTTTGATGTCGTGATGTTGTGTTGTTGATGATGTGATGACGTTTGATGTTGATGATGATGTTGTTTTGATGATGATATTTGTGATGTTTGATGTTGTTTTGATGATAATGTTTGATATTGTTTTGATAATGATGTTGTGATGTTTGATGTTGTTTTGATGATGATGATGTTGTTTTGATGATGATGATGTTTGATGTATATACTCTATACTCTCTATGGTCAATTTTCCTATAATGGGATCTTTCAGTCTATAAGAAAACTTTTAGGACTAAATAGTGTATAAGTTGTTAATTTGAGATTTATTGGTGCATCACCTTAATTAAAATAATGTCATAACTAAAAAAATTAATTATAACTAAAAAAAATAAAATAATTAACAATGCATATGATAATCTTTTTTAAAGAGGTGTAAGTTAAAATTTTCCTCTCATTTATTATGTGATTGGTTATATACATTGATAAATAAATATGAGTCGTAGCTTGATAAAAGAAAATTGAGTGGCAGGATTTAACAAATCAATACAGCAGATAAGATAATAAATAAACTTTTAAATATTGATTGCAATGTGATGTGAATAGCTAATAGAAATTACAAATTAGATTAGGTGGATATTCATTGTCGCCCACTAACGCAACAAAAAATATATGATTAGTTTGTGGTATCACAATGTAATATTAGCGTTATACCTAATATTTAACTCTAAATATTTGCACAATAAGGTTCTTTGTGTAATGGGTAGTTTACCTGTTAACGTTATTATATAAATTTTGTTTGTCTCTTTTGAAACGTTAAGAAATTATAGAGCAAATGTCAAATAAATATGAAATGAGTAACTAAGGCCAAGTTTGACATCTATTAAATAATACAAAAAGTCAAAAAGTCACTATCCTATTTAAGTCACATCATCTTATTTAAATCACATTACCTCTCTAATACATCACATCAAACCCAACCTAAACCCAACCCATATAAATCAATAAGTCAAAAAGTGCACTTTTTTAGAACATCCCAAACCAATCCTAATTGTAAATCAATTAAAACTTTTTGAAAATATCTTCACACATGAAATGGGATAAATTAATATCACACGTATGGATTCTTGTATTTTGTTGGAAAAAAATTCCCCTCCCCTAACTTTTTGCCTTCTCTCTTTTGTGATTACAGTTCTCTTTCCCATATCACACTAGAGATGGAGATAGCGCCTCTTGCCTCCCTTCTCTCCTCTCGTTGAGTCGCTATTCACATCATTGATCGTTGTCGCTCGCCTCGCCGCCAATCGTAGTTGGTTTTCTCTCTCTCTCTTAAATCTTTGGGTACCTTATAGATTTTTATGGGATTCTGTATAGATTTTAAACATCTCTACCTTGATTTGATTCAATCATTTTATGGGTATTTTTCAATCTTTTTTTATGTCATATTTCTATTTTTTCTAGGGTTTATTTATTTATTTTGACTGTTTATTTTGCTAGTTTTGTTTGTTCAATGACATAAACAAATAGTTATTGCTAGTTTTGTTTTGCTAGTTTTTGTTTCTTCATTATTTTTTTTTTCTTTTCTAATTTAGTCTCTCGTTGTTCATTTGTTATTTCAATTTTTTTTTTTTTGTTGGGTTAGTTTCGTTTGTTCAATGAATTATTTATCCAAAAAAAATAATGAACAAGGCAAATTTATGCATTGTTCATAAATTAGGTATTGTTTTGCTAGTTTTTTTTTTTTCCAAATCTTTGATTCATATTTCATAATTTGAATTAGGTTTTTTCTGATAAGCCAATCCGCCAAGTCGAAACCGCCATTATTTGTGAACCACTCTGCCAATTTGTGATGGAAAAATGGTGGTTTCAATGGGCAAATTTGCCAATCCACTACCGGCTAAGCGATTTCTCTTTTAGCTTCAAACCGCATCGTGCACACCCCTAACGTAAACAGTACCAACCCAACAACAATGTAAACAACCATTGGCGACTGAATTCCACCCACAATTAACATTCACTTCACTCATATTTCTCTATCTCTCATCTTTGGGGAGTGGCTATTTTGGGGAGTGGCTATTTTAGCCAAAAAGTCAAAAAGTTACTAAAAGTTGTCACATCACCTCTCTACTTTTCTGCATATCTTTTCATAAAAAGTCAAAAAGTTACTAAAATAGCATGTTCCCAAACGAGGCCTCGTGAATCCACCATTGGTATTCTTTCTCCACTACTAAAACTAAATCATCCTCATTGATTGTCGAAACCCAACAACAATCGGCACTCATCATGAAACTTGAAACCAATGTTTTGACACTTAGGCCGTTGATCAAATCGGAAAAAGTGACTGGGTCACAAGTCACTAGTTCAACCGTCGGGTGAACCGTAATTGAACCATGACATCATAATTACTTAACAAATATTTTAATAATTATTTTAAAATAAAAAAATAAGAATTAAGATACATTCATTCGTAAAAAAATTTATGTTAAGATATATGTAATTTATATAAATATGTTTAATGGGACTCAAGGTTTGATTTGGTTGGTTGGTTGGTAGGTATATAAATATGTTTACCAAATATATATTTATACAAATATACTTATGTTTATATATTTGTAAAAATATTAATTATAATAGTATTTGAGAGAAAATATGTTGAATACAAATAAATAATATACATCCACTGTCAATATGAAATGTGGTATGTTGGTTTATCGGAAATACATAGCCTCTTTACGTAGGGGTGTGTAGACACCCCATTTTTGACCGACCTTAAGACTCAGACGTCACCAATTGAGCGCTTGGTGATGTTGCATATCGTGCTCGTTTAGAAGTCTCAGAGTCGCGGCCGTGAGCCCCGCCTCCGGATTTCCGAACCTTCTTCTGTGCCTTGCCTCGGTTTGCGAACCAGACTCGGTTTTCTCTGTTTCTTTTCCTAGGGGGAGGGAGAGGTCCCGTAGACCATCTCTCAGTGGCCGTGGGCTACATTTTGTGGCTATAGGCCATTTTGCCCATTTCGGAGCCCCGTTTCCGGTTTTGAGGACCGTTGGCCGTGTGCCTCGGTTCGGGACCGCTTAACCATCTCCGTTTGCTCTAAATTTTGGCATGCATCTTAATTACTCCCTTTTGAGGGACACTGGGGCCTGAGAGACCCACTTCGTGGTCAAATGCCGCTTTCGGTGCTTAACAGGCAGTTTTCGGGGCCCCGAACTGCGCATTTTGGCCCCCAAACTTTCGTTTTGCATCGGTTTTCGTTCATTTTTGGCAGGTACCTCTGTTTCATCACTAGGAAGGCCATAGAAGGGTGGGAGGCCAGCAATTATTTCAGCAACCAGTTATATATCCTCCGGCGGCCTCCAACGCCCGTTTTTCTCACTTCCAAGCCAATGTTGAACACCATTTGGCCATTTTCTTGAACTTTTAACCACATATTTGTGATGTACACATATGGGAGGACCCTAAAAGTTGGTGGCCGGCCACTAATGTTGCTTGACCCTTTTGAACCCCTCCTAAAAATGGCCTATTCTCTCTCCTGTTTTACAGTTTGCAATTTTGAACCACAAGGTTATGATGAGGGGACCTAGGAGGCCACCAATATCATATGGTCGGCTACTAATTCAACTTGACCCTTTTGACCCTTGGCCGGCCGGCTAGGGGGGGTGGTCGGCCAGCCACCTGCAGCTCTGAAAGTTGGCCGGCCTTGTTCCTCACTGTGTGTGCATTA